GGTATAGGTAGTATCCTGAATTCAAACATTATCAACGAAATTATCAGTAAAATGGGACGAAAACGCAAGGGAACCTCTGAAGAAGAAAGGAAAATTGTTATAAATTTACATAATAAGTGTAAAACACTGAGTGAAATTTCTAAAGTTTTAAATAGACCGAGGTCCACGATTCAAGGAATCATTCACAGATATGGCGATCGAAAAACTGTAAAAAATAATCCAAGAAACGGACGTAAACGAATAATAAATGAGTATACCGGCCGATGGATAATTCGGAAAATAAAGATAATCGAAAATCCAAAGATAAGTGCGGTGAAAATCACAGCTGAACTTAAAAATGATCTGAATATTAATGTATGCAGTAGCACAGTGCGTAATTTTTTACGGGTAGAGGATATCACGGCCGAGTAGCTCGTAAGAAATATTTCGTAAATGAAATTAATAGAAAGAAACGATTGCAATTCGCGAAAGAGTACGTTAATGTTCCTATGGAGCACTGGAACCGTTTTATATTTACCGATGAGAGTAAATTTAACATATTTGGGTCAAATGGACGATGTACAGTATGGCGGAAAAAAAATACCGAGTACGAAAAAAGAAATTTGAAGGCGACCGTAAAGCATGGAGGAGGATCAGTCACAGTTTGGCAGTTAGGCTCTATGAGTGCGAGCGGGCTTGGATCCCTCCATTTTATCGATGGTATTGTTACATATCATTCATGCATGGGGCTGAAACGTTTGGTGACTTGGGCGTTGGCTCGAGCATCTAGCGAGCAACCCTTTGAACGGGGTTGACTCATGCCGTATGCGCACACCCGGCCCAATTTTCATTGCCTTTTATGGTAATGCCCCGCCTTAGTACTGAGCATTTTCAACTATATAAGGGCCGCGGTTTCTTACTCGGGGAGCTCAGTTTTACCTAAACTCTTGGCACGACGTTACTGTGACACTCAGGGCAAGATCGGGCTATAATCCCCTTCAAGCAACTATCTACGACTATCTACCTTAGCGGTTTATCAGTGAGTATCCAGTAATCGAGTGCGAGCTCCCGCGAACGCGCCGCGTAAAAGCCGATAACAAATCTTTCGCCTTCGAGGCAATTTAGCAATTGTACAACTTCTTGTAAATCCATAGCTGTACTTGAGCATCGTCAAAAATATATATTCAAGTTATTATTCCTTACGTGTGTTATTCACTCAAAGCAACCCTGAACCATATTAACCGTAAGGCTAGGGGTATCTCACGAACCCGGTACACCTTTACCGCTCGAGGTGTACCATCACGACAGAGAGCAAGATCCTAAAACATCCTAAAAACCTACGTGGCTCCCAGGGTATAAAGCCCCTGGTTCGTCCACTCCTACTAGCGGCTCCCAGGGTATAGAGCCCCTGGTTCGTCCGTGAAACCATTCATTTTCCCTATAAATCTAACCCCGTGGCTCCCAGGGTATAGAGCCCCTGGTTCGTCCGGACCTCCTTTCTTTTCCTAACCATACCCAAAACCACCGGTCGAGTACTGCCCCTCGACCGAATCTAGGATCTCGCGCTCCCGCTCGTAACAGTATCATGGATCACAAAATGTACATCGATATTCCAAAAGAGCATCTTCAGGGTAGTGCAAATAAAATGCAGTTACAGGGCAATTATATATTTTTGCAAGATAATGATCCAAAGCATAATGCTTCTAATACACGTCAGTGGATCCTATATAATGTGCCGCAGCAATTAAAAATCCCTTCACAGTCTCCAAACGTAAATGTGATAGAGCACTTATGGAGTCATTTTGAAGAAAAAATTCGAGACCATCACATTTCTTCGAAACAAGATTTAAAAAATGCACCTTTAGAGGAATGGAACAAAATTTCTAGTACTATAACCAAAAATTTAGTAAATTCAATGCCACAAAGGCTTAAAGCGATTATAGAATCTAAAGGAAATCCCACTAGATACTAAAATAACAAATAGACTGATTTTTGTTACGTTTATGTACTAAAATTTATAGTTTTTGTTGTAAAATTAGAAGTGAACGAATACTTATTACACGTATATTTCACGCCAATTTCTGGAAATTTGTTAATATTTTCATAATAAATATAAATAAATAATTTGTTGTTAATGACATTTGTTCCAGAGATTTCTAAGAATACTTATGTATGTTTTTGTTAACATACTTTTGTAATAAACAAAGTTCTGCAAAGTTTTTGCTCAAATTGACTAGTGTACGAATACTTTTTACACTCACTGTAGTATCTTATAATTTTATGTACAGTTACTTTCACTCGTATTATATAATTTATATTAATTTATATTAATAATTTATATATTATAAAATTTGTTTCTTATGAATTGACCCGTTTACATTGAGATATTTTAGGGTTTATCAACTTGGCGACGTCGAAAATACCGATTCTTGTTTGATCATCGAGGTTAAGTTAATTTACCTACTGTTTATATTATTTATACCTCTATTAGTTTATTAATAAGACTAGCTTGTTAATATTAAAAAAAATTTTTAAAGTAATACATTCGGACTAAACAACATTTCGTAAAAATAAATGCAAAGAATTCCTAGGAAAACAAGTTTCTTTTCATTTATAGTGAATCACCATTACAATGCACGAATACAAGTGGCATAAAAATGTATAAACACTTATTTTCTATTACAGTTTCTCTGTACAGTCGTGAATTCTAATCCGTAATAATTAGACTGCGGATCTTTATGCAAATTCACATTTTTATTAATAGAATTAATGAAACGGAAGCTTACTAAAATTTATAGTTTTTGTTGTAAAATTAGAAGCGTACGAATACTTATTACACGTATATTTCACGCCAATTTCTGGAAATTTGTTAATATTTTCATAATAAATATAAATAAATAATTTGTTGTTAATGACATTTGTTCCAGAGATTTCTAAGAATATGTATGCATGTTTTTGTTAACATACTTTTGTAATAAACAAAGTTCTGCAAAGTTTTTGCTCAAATTGACTAGTGTACGAATACTTTTTAAACACACTGTATGTATAAGAGAACGCTAAAATTGATATAATTTCGAATGAATGGGAGGCTGGTAGGAGAATGTAAATAAAAACCGTTAAGTGGGAATTATGATATTATCGAATAATGTTTAATAACACTGATGAGCGCGAACACGCCCACAAATGATAACAACATCGTCTATCACGAATGAAGAAAACTGACATAAATTTAAAGGGTGCGTCCGACAAATATACGACCACTTCATAAATTACCTTCTTATCGTTAGAATTTGTTTCCCTTTTCACGAAGAAACAATTTTTCTTTCTGTTTACAAGAATAGTCGCATCAAGTTCGCTAGTTAGATGGAAAAACTTTTTCTGGATAATGGATGGTTTTTCTGCGACACCTACAATGACATTCGTCGGAAACTAGTCCCACGTGGCGTAGGCGTGGTGCAATATATCACAAGTTCAGATAAGTGTATGCAACCTTCAAGGTAAATTGATAAACCTCGTTAACTGTGCGTTTTTTATATGGTAAAATTCAAGGTATATCAAAATACATGATACGAAATGGTTCTTCTGTCAAGAAAATATCGAATGGATGAAGTAGACACCCTATACATATATTTTCATACATTTTTTACTTATTTTTGCAAGGGTCGTATCACGAATTTTTTTAAAATCTTACGTTGGATTAACAAAGAAAATTAAATTATACTGGACACAAATTTGTAATATTTTCTAACGAAGAGTTGTCTCGTTGTTCTCAGTTACTCTTTTGCAGATAAATTAACCCCCAATTTCCTACATTTGTATAGACATAAGATATGATTGAACTATAAAATGCCATGAAATTCAAGATACTAATCGATTATACTTCATATTTTTAGGAACGAAATGAAACATACAAATCAATCCCTCGAATTAAATCGCTCATCATGCATTCGTTTTAACTGGTTAAATGAATAATAACAAATAAGAATAAGTCTCTCATAAAAAAATAAAATTGTTATAAAAGTGTAACTTGTGGGAAATAAACATCATTGTTACATAATAGGTGAGCCCCTAACATTATAATATCTACGTCACTTCCACGCTTAGAAATTGTATGCAGCTGCAAGATATTCCTGTTACTGGAAGTTCTAGACGATCTTAAACAATTTCTAAGTTTAGAATCTTCAGAGACTTAGAGCAACTGTCAAAATTCATGGAATAGAAATCTCCCCAAAACTCTCTAAAATCATCGACGCACGAAGCATTAACTGATTTCATAAAAAATTATTTTGTTAATCGATTATATCATTTTTATTATCAACAACAAAATGAATTACGATTTTTTCACGATTTTTCTGCTACTCAAACTTTACTCGATCTTTATGAAACTTGGCATATATATTCTATAAATAATTGGCCTCAGCATGACGAGCTCCGATTTTTTTATTTTTTACTTAAAATCTTGTTATTAACAATTGTTCATAATCAAAAATCCGGTTATTTTTTCAAACGTTCGCCATTTTTGCAATTTTGAAAATTTTGACAAAAGGAGAATGTCATGCTGAGCGTTTTTGCATAAACTAACTATTCTATTTTGAGTTTTTTGTTTCAGATCATTTTTGTGCATTGTATGCTGCACGGCGAATTTACAGGATGCCATATTCAAGCCACCATTGCACCATTGTTATTAACAATTAAAATGTATAAAAAATATTTTTCTTTACATTATAACGTTAATAAATGATACTTCAAATTTTAAATGAATCTGTGCATTGCATTTTTCAAAAAAAATTCTTGAAAAACAGGCCATTTACATGAGGTTCCCCCCTTAAGTTTTCGTAAACAATTATGTATTGCGGATTCTTGAAACACCCTAGAAACATATCCTGTAAAAAATGTTCCAGACGAAAATTGATGCACAATTGACCAATTGCTACCACACTCAATTGAAACTACTCGATCGTTTAGGTGTATCCGTGACATTGAGTTATTCGTAAGGTCGTTAAATAAGAACATCTACTCACCTTTATTAGTCCATTCTCGAACATAACGTCTTCAGTGTCGACTTCGTAGGTGAACATCGCTTCTCTTCCACAATCGGGCGGGCCTTTGAAGACGTTGAAAAAATCCACCGCGTTCGACACTTCTGGCAGCAACGATATAAACTCGTCCACGTTCGAATAATTCCCGTCGCCGATAGCGTCGACCAACGGTACGCAGCTTTTCGTGGCCACGTCGAAAACTGTATTTTTTTGACAGCACCTCCTGACGCTCAGCAATCGTGGCGATGACACGCCCGATGTATGCTCTTTGGGACTATCTTCGTTCGATCGACAATCCACGACTATCGGGTCGCTCTTACGCGTGGCTCGTTGGTACAGAATTTCGAGGCATGGCTTCTGTGAATTAAAATAAATAAATGTTGATTTTATTCAAATTACCGCTTTTACGTCTCTTAATTCAAGAGCAAAACACGTGATTAATAGGATAGCTTCGATACTCCATAAATATTTATCTTGGCGAAAATTGATTCGATCGACTGCATCGATTTCCCTCGCGAATTCAGAAAACGAGTGGATTATAAGGGTACAAAATTTGTTGAGATGTATCGCAATAACATCAGGCCATGGTTAGGCATTTTCAATTGGCTGAGACTTCATACGAACTTAATTTGGCTCCTGACACTAAATATCAAAGTGATTATCCATGATTCTATCTCAACTATGTACAGGGTGTTCGGCCACCTATGGGAAAAATTTTAATGGGAGATTCTAGAGGTGAAAATAAGGCGAAAATCAAGAATACCAATTTGTTGATCGAGGCTTCGTTAAAAAGATATTAACGTTTAAAGTTCCATACTCACCGCAACATTTTTCGACGAAAAAAAAATTTCAAATCGTTCTGGAAAAAATATTTTTGTCTGCGGGGGTCAATTACAATCATTTTTTGTGAATAGACATAGCCACGAAATCCTACTGGGTTTCGAGAAAAAAATTCAAGTAGGTACTGAACTTTTTAGATGAAATTAAAATATTTAAAATTACACTAAAAAAATTATATTTAGTTACAGGGGTCAATTGCAATCATTTTTTGTGAATAGACATAACCCCGAAATCCTACTGGGTTTCGAGAAAAAAATTCGAGTAGGTACTGAACTTTTTAGATGAAATTAAAATATTTAAAATTACACTAAGAAAATTATATTTAGTTACAGGGGTCAATTGCAATCATTTTTTGTGAATAGACATAGCCCCGAAATCCTACGCAGTTTCGAGAAAAAAATTCGAGTAAGTGCTGAAATTTTTCGGTGAAATTAAAAAATTTCAAATCGTCATGGAAAAAATATTTTTGTCTGCGGGGGTCAATTACAATCATTTCTTGTGAATAGACATAGTCCCGAAATCCTACTGGGTTTCGAGAAAAAAATTCGAGTAGGTGTTGAAATTTTTCGGTGAAATTAAAAATTTCAAATCGTTCTGGAAAAAATATTTTTGTATGCGGGGGTCAATTACAATCATTTCTTGTGAATAGACATAGTCCCGAAATCCTACTGGGTTTCGAGAAAAAAATTCGAGTAGGTGTTGAAATTTTTCGGTGAAATTAAAATATTTAAAATTACACTAAAAAAATTATATTTAGTTACAGGGGTCAATTGCAATCATTTTTTGTGAATAGACATAGCCCCGAAATCCTACGCAGTTTCGAGAAAAAAATTCGAGTTAGTGCTGAAATTTTTCGGTGAAATTAAAAAATTTCAAATCGTCATGGAAAAAATATTTTTGTCTGCGGGGGTCAATTACAATCATTTCTTGTGAATAGACATAGTCCCGAAATCCTACTGGGTTTCGAGAAAAAAATTCGAGTAGGTGTTGAAATTTTTCGGTGAAATTAAAAATTTCAAATCGTTCTGGAAAAAATATTTTTGTATGCGGGGGTCAATTACAATCATTTTTTGTGAATAGACATAACCCCGAAATCCTACTGGGTTTCGAGAAAAAAATTCGAGTAGGTACTGAACTTTTTAGATGAAATTAAAATATTTAAAATTACACTAAGAAAATTATATTTAGTTACAGGGGTCAATTGCAATCATTTTTTGTGAATAGACATAGCCCCGAAATCCTACGCAGTTTCGAGAAAAAAATTCGAGTAAGTGCTGAAATTTTTCGGTGAAATTAAAAAATTTCAAATCGTCATGGAAAAAATATTTTTGTCTGCGGGGGTCAATTACAATCATTTCTTGTGAATAGACATAGTCCCGAAATCCTACTGGGTTTCGAGAAAAAAATTCGAGTAGGTGTTGAAATTTTTCGGTGAAATTAAAAAATTTCAAATCGTCATGGAAAAAATATTTTTGTCTGCGGGGGTCAATTACAATCATTTCTTGTGAATAGACATAGTCCCGAAATCCTACTGGGTTTCGAGAAAAAAATTCGAGTAGGTGTTGAAATTTTTCGGTGAAATTAAAAAATTTCAAATCGTCATGGAAAAAATATTTTTGTCTGCGGGGGTCAATTACAATCATTTCTTGTGAATAGACATAGTCCCGAAATCCTACTGGGTTTCGAGAAAAAAATTCGAGTAGGTGTTGAAATTTTTCGGCGAAATTAAAAAATTTCAAATCGTTATCGAAAAAATATTTTCAGTTGTAGGAGTCAATTACAAGCATTTTTGGTCAACAGACATACCCCTGAAATCCTACGCAGTTTTGAGAAAAAAATTCATTACCGAAAATATGATTTCTGGCCAGAAATGTCACTCCAAAATTTCATGCGAATCTTTAAAACGTTATAACTTTTGAACGGATTGAAGGATTTTAAAGTTTCAAAATGCAAACAATGCGTATTTTGATGAAGTATATGTAGAAGTTTGAAGAATATTCAAAAAGTCGATCCTTAACATCGTGAAATGAGAAAGACCCCATAAAAATGGTCCAATTTTCAAACGCCCATAACTCCTACAATAGTGAATGTATTTGATTAAAATTTTGGGAGGAAATGAAGTTCATGGATACCTACAAAAAAGTATTAGGCAACCTTTCTGTGGCGGGTAAAACAAATTTATTAAAAATGAGAAACGAATTTTTAAGAAAAATCGACAAATGTAGAAATTTTTCGGTGAAATTAAAAAATTTCAAATCGTTATGGAAAAAATATTTTCAGGTGTAGGAGTCAATTACAAGCATTTTTGGTCAAAAGACATACTCCTGATATCCTACTCACTTTCGAGAAAAAAATTCATTACCGAAAATATGATTTCTGGCCAGAACTGTCACTCCAAAATTTCATGCGAATCTTTAAAACGTTATAACTTTTGAACGGATTGAAGGATTTTAATGTTTCAAAATGCAAACAATGCGTATTTTGATGAAGTATATGTAGAAGTTTGAAGAATATTCAAAAAGTCGATCCTTAAACCCGTGAAATGAGAAAGACCCCATAAAAATGGTCCAATTTTCAAACGCCCATAACTCCTACAATAGTGAATGTATTTGATTAAAATTTTGGGAGGAAATGGAGTTCATGGATACCTACAAAAAAGTATTAGGCAACCTTTCTGTGGCGGGTAAAACAAATTTATTAAAAATGAGAAACGAATTTTTAAGAAAAATCGACAAATGTAGAAATTTTTCGGTGAAATTAAAAAATTTCAAATCGTTATGGAAAAAATATTTTCAGGTGTAGGAGTCAATTACAAGCATTTTTGGTCAAAAGACATACCCCTGATATCCTACTCACTTTCGAGAAAAAAATTCATTACCGAAAATATGATTTCAGGCCAGAAATGTCACTCCAAAATTTCATGCGAATCTTTAAAACGTTATAACTTTCAAACGGATTGAAGGATTTTAATGATTCAAAATGCAAACAATGCGTATTTTGATGAAGTATATGTAGAAGTTTGAAGAATATTCAAAAAGTCGATCCTTAAACCCGTGAAATGAGAAAGACCCCATAAAAATGGTCCAATTTTCAAACGCCCATAACTCCTACAATAGTGAATGTATTTGATTAAAATTTTGGGAGGAAATGGAGTTCATGGATACCTACAAAAAAGTATTAGGCAACCTTTCTGTGGCGGGTAAAACAAATTTATTAAAAATGAGAAACGAATTTTTAAGAAAAATCGACAAATGTAGAAATTTTTCGGTGAAATTAAAAAATTTCAAATCGTTATGGAAAAAATATTTTCAGGTGTAGGAGTCAATTACAAGCATTTTTGGTCAAAAGACATACCCCTGATATCCTACTCACTTTCGAGAAAAAAATTCATTACCGAAAATATGATTTCAGGCCAGGAATGTCACTCCAAAATTTCATGCGAATCTTTAAAACGTTATAACTTTTGAATGGATTGAAGGATTTTAATGTTTCAAAATGCAAACAATGCGTATTTTGATGTAGTATATGTAGAAGTTTGAAGAATATTCAAAAAGTCGATCCTTAACCCCGTGAAATGAGAAAGACCCCATAAAAATGGTCCAATTTTCAAGCAGCCATAACTCCTACAGTAGTGAATATATTTCAATGAAACTTTTATCTGATGTAGAGCTTATGGGTACCTATAAAAAAGTATTATACAACTTTTTTGTACGGCGTCAAATAAAATTATTAAAAATCAAAAGTGAATGTTAAATCGACAGGGGGTAGCTTCTAAAATTTTTCAGCGAAAAAATATTTCAAATTGTTGTGAAAAAATTATTTTTAGCTAGAGGGGTGAGCTACAATAATTTTTGGTGAATAGACGTACCTCCGAAATCTTAATGACTTTCGAGAAAAAAATTCGTGTATTTGGACAAATTTTATTAATAATTTTTAAGAATATTTTTGTTAATAACTTTTCAACGGAGCCTCAGTCAACGAATTGATATTCTTGATTGTCGTCTTATTTTGGCCTCTAGAATTTCCCATTAAAATTTTTTCCAAGGGTGGCCGAATACTCTGTATATCGTTATTTCTTAACTTAATTTTATTTTGTAACTCCTACAATAGTGAATATATTTCATTGAAATTTTTGGAGGAAATAGAGTTCATGGCTACCTACCAAAAAGTATTAGACATTCTTTCCGTAGCGGGTGAAACAAATTTATTAAAAATAAGAAACGAATTTTTAAGAAAAATCGACAAATGTAGAAATTTTTCGGCGAAATTAAAAAATTTCAAATCATTTAGAAAAAATTATTTTTGGTTTCACGGGCCAATTACAATCATTTTTGGTCAATAGACATACCCCTGAAATCCTACTCACTTTCGAGAAAAAAATTCGTGCAGGTGGACAAATTTTATTAATAATTTTGTTAATAACTTTTTAACGAAGCCTCTCATTAAAATTATTCCCAAGGGTGGTCGAACACTCTGTATATAGTATAGTAATATCTTCTCTGTGAATGATTATGGTAAATACACTATGCAACCTGATGCAAATCTTCGCTTCTCGAATGTTTTAATTTCTTAATTGGAGCAGTAAGCATGTTGGTTCATGGCATAATTAATAAAAGAAAAACTGTGTAATGCAACTTTAAATATTTGTATCATTTTTAGGTTTCTAAACCCTCTGAAGGTATATCAAATCTTCTTTAGTATTACGATAAATGTATCGTGCATGTATACAGGGTGGTCCACGCAATTGTTACAAGTCATAACTCCGTTATTATTGCATTTACGCAAAAATGTCAAAGGAGAAAGATAAATGGTTCGAAGAGCACTACATCTGTAGGCCTTTAAATTTTTTTTAGATGCAGCAGTGCATGTGCAATTAACAATTGCATCATTTCTTTAAATAGAAATGCATATTTTTTTTTACACAGATCGATTCTTCTGTTCATTCTACGTATAAAATGATTAGGGTACTATGGCATAAAAATTATTAGATCTCAAGATATTTTCAAAAAATGTCTTTATCGAAGAAGATGCTCAAACACTTCATGACTATGTTGTAAAGGTAAACACCCTTTCGACATTGTTATCATAACAGAAACTGATTTGTACGAGTAAGCATTTCATCATTCAGTAGTAATTCACGTATCGTAACTCGAGTTCGAAAACTAAGAATTTGAAAAAGTGCGGTTTCTAAAAAATAAGTTTTGCAATAACGTTATCGCAACAAATACATCAATACGTTGGCCAACCCGTTCACCTGATTCAAGTCCCCTTGACATTTTTCTGTGGGGTTATTTGAAAGATAGAATTTATTCAAATCCCATAGATTCTGTAGAGAATCTGAGAGAAAGAATCATACTGGAATGTGCAGCAATAACTGCAGATAATTTAAACGCAGTTATGCAAACAATAAAAAAACGTTATCAGAAATGTTTAGAATGTAACGGAGAAGCGTTTGAGCATCTTCTTCAATGAAGACATTTTTTTTAAATATCTCGAAATCTAATAATTTTTTTGCCATGGTACCCTAATCATTTTATACGTAGAATGAACAGAAGAATCGATCTGTGTAAAAAAAAATATGCATTTCTATTTAAAGAAATGATGCAATTGTTAATTGCACATGCACTGCTGCATCTAAAAAAAATTTTAAAGGCCTACAGATATAGTGTTCTTCGAACCATTTATCTTTCTCTTTTGGCATTTTTTCGTAAATGCAATAATAACGGAGTTATGACTTGTAACAATTGCATGAGCCACCCTGTATAGTGTGAAATATAAAAATAAACAATTAAATAAATCTTAAGTCATAGCTACTAAAACATGAATTATTATTTGTTGCGCCTAAAGCAGCCAATCACTGCTATCAATCATTTATAATTATCCATCGTTTATATTGCTATTTATGTAAATTATTATGTATGTAAAAAATTTATAAAGAAAAATGCGAAGATCTTTACCATATTTATAATATAGCAAACGATATTCACTAATTGTTATTCACAGATAAAAGTTAATGCAGCGATTTAATGCAGAATGCAATACATGACACGAAGGTCGTTTAAAAATCGATACTGTTTGATACTGTCGCTACTTCAATGATATTATTTACAAGCACCGTTGCAGAATAAATTATTCAGTTCCATTAAAATATTGGAAGCGATTTTGAAACACTGCAGGCTACGTGGACACGGTAAAAATTCACGATTTTCGAAATAAATACATGTTCGACTCGATGGACATATTTTACTATTAAATCACGTTGAAAGCACTTTTTCGATCGAAAACTTTCTTCCCCCCATTTTTACGACCTTAGCAATTGGGGAAACCTTTATAATGCTCTCAAGAAAATTATAGTCGAAGGACTTTTAGCGTACAAAGGCACCGATGAGATCAATGGGAATCCCGCCATAATCTTCCGCGATCTTCTCGCAGAATAGTCATTTTTCTCTCATTTATTTTAACTTCCCCCGCGCCTTTCAATCTAAATTGTTTAACCACTCTGTTAAAATCCGTAATCGATCCATTTAAATCTGCCAATGAAAGCAATCAAATTCGAATTATAACAATTCCAAAAACGTCCATTGATTGCATTCCAGCTTTGAAAGTTGGAACATTGTCGACGAGCTTTTTAGCTTCCAATTAAATGCATTTTAAGATTACGACCCAATTGATGACAGTGATTGAATATTTCAAATTGTTTGCATATCTTTCAACTTCTACAATGACGACTAAATTCTTTTTAAGATTAACAATGAATAAACGTGGTAAAATTCTGAACACGTTGAAATCGATCAAGGAACACAATACAGTAATAATTATACCAGCAACGAGGTTTTGGCTGGGTTCCCAATCGTGATCGTGTCCTTTCGTAAAAATTGTCCACGTGTTTCTTGGCCGTCGATGGAATCAATTTTTGAGGTTAGAAAACCATTTGTGGAGCGTGACCGAATAAAGCTGATAAATAAGATTATTTCAAAAACACTGTACGGCAGGATTTTTCCAAAAAAACTAACACGATTAATTTAAAAATTGACTGAAGAAAATAAGAGAAAATTATAATTGCGTGAAAATTGATTTGAATCAAAGTCTTGCGCGCCAAATTTTCCAGGCGTTTATTCTCGATAAAAATTCACGGTTCCCGCGAATAATTTCAAGAATCTAAGTACAATGGATCGCGGGAGAACAAAGATATAGTGGATCGGTGATAAATAATCAGCCACGGAAATTATAGAGAGAAGAAGCGAGGATGAATCAAATCAATTCGTCACGTTTCGTTCGCTGGAAAATATACGACTGGATTTAATAGGAAAACGGGGGATCCCGTACGGTTTCCGTACCCGCAGGTAACTGGTGGCCTGCATCGAGGAGAGGAGGGTGATCCTGATGTCGTCCACCACCGTGCAATTCGGAAACGACGTGTCGTCACCGATGCTGTAAAGTTCCATCGCGCTCGATGGCGCCGGGACGCACGCCTTCCCCTTTTCATCGGAGAAAATCTCCCCGGTTGGACAACATTTGTTGAACGTCGTCTCCGCCGTTGATAGAACCGCTGACACCCAGACGAGCGCCAAGGGGATCAGGCTTCTCATCGTCATCGCGGGACCCGTTTCGTGGCAGTCAAATTGCACTTGAATGGCCTCGAAAGGAGGAATGTGGCCTTGAGCGATTTCACTTCACTCCGGTTCCAGCGAACGTCGTTTTCCACAGAGTCCTCGTTCACGATTGTAGCTACAAATTAATTGGTCCTCGTAGCTCGATGACGAAATACAGTGGCGCACAAAAGTTTCCAAACGGCTACGCTTTAGTGTACAAAGTCGAAGAGATTGGTGGATGGAATTCGAATAGATTGGTCAGAATTCGGTAATTAACTTTAGCGATTCCTCACCAATTTTGATGACCTTGAAATATGTTGTCAAGGTCACTGTTATGAAGATTTTTTTCTGTATACATTATAGCCGCTCGGCCTTAGTTTCCGAAATTTTGCGTTAAAAAGATCGCTGCTACTACAATTAATTCTGTCCATACGTACGTGACTGTGGCAGCGTGTGTGTAAGCGTTGAAACGCCGATTGTTTATTGTTTCTATAGATACAGTTACAGAAATAAGTATCCATACACCGCAATACGTTCAGTTTAAACAATAATAACTTTGATTATAGAAGGCTACTTAGCTATGAAAGGCACATATGCAGTTGAGAAATTAATTCAGCTGTCAGATAGTATGAATTTGGTTATGATTTAAAAAAAAATACAAAAGACAAATCTCAAATACCGAATGAAGTAAGAAAATCAGCGAGAAAAAAGTATTCATACGTGACATCATTTGTATTCATAATTTGTATCACAATGAGTGCTAAAAATAAGGAAGCTACAATAGAGGAAAGAAAAATTGTAATTGAATTATGGACAAGTGGGAAATCACTTCGCGAGATTGGTGAAATGGTAAAAAGGAGTCATGCTAATGTACAATATATAGTTAATAAGTACAAAAGTACAGGATTAATTGAAAATATGCGTCGTTCCGGGAGACCGAGTAAGTTAAATGAAAGGGATGAAAGATTTATTACAAAGAAAATAAAAGAAAATCCATTTGAAAGTGCACCTAAAATCGCAGCAGAATTAGAAGCAAAAAGCGGTAACAAAATTTGTCCCAAAACGATATCAAACAAACTTAAAGAATCAAAGTATTTCGCACGAGTAGCGAGGAAAAAACCTTACGTCAATGAGGTGAATAGAGAAAAAAGACTTAATTTCGCAAAATTTACAAGAATAAATTATTAGATTTTTGGAAACAAGTTATTTTCTCAGACGAGAGCAAGTTTAATACTTGGGGTTCACATGGACGAAAATTAGTATACAGAAAAAAGGGAGAATCCTTAAGGCCCAAAAACATTAAACCTACAGTCAAACATGGTGGAAGTAGCCTTATGGTATGGCTTATGGCTGTATGGCCGCAAATGGTCTCGGAAACTTGCATTTCATTGATGGAATAGTAGACCAATATAAATATTTAAGTATTTTAAAATCAAGGTTGAAAGACAGCGCACAGTAATTAGGTCTTTCTGACAATTATTATTTTCAGCAAGATAACGTTCCCATCCACAAGACTCATTTAATTAGGGAATGGCTGTTATACAATAGGCCTCACGTTTTGGAAACTCCTCCGCAATAACCGGACATAAATCCAATCGAGCATATATGGCGAAAATTGAAACATCGTTTGCAAAAATATAAAATTACAAATAAAAATGATTAAAAAATGCTTTGCAAGAGGAATGGTAAAAAATGGAGGGAAATGTAACAAATAACATAATTGAATCTATGCCCAGGCAATTACAAGCTATCATTGATAATAACGGGTATCCTACATAATATTAATTACTATAAATATGACTGATTCATAAACAAACAAAATTCTGTATGAATACTTTTTTCTCGCTGATTTTCTTACTTCATTAGGCATTTGAGATTTGTTTGTTGTATTTTTATTCAAGTCACAATAAAATTCATATTATCTGAAAGCTGAGTTAATTCCCTAACTGCATGTGTGCCTTCTATAGTTAACTAGCCTTTTATAATCAAACTTTGTATTGTTTAAACAGAACGTGTTGCGGTGTATGGATACTTTCTTCGATAACTGTACATCGAGGCAACCGACAATGGATGCGTATAACGGATATGCTTAAAAACTCGATTTGAGTAGCATAAAGAAGTCTAACCCAAACCTTACTTAAACCTAACTATTCTACCTAGTAACTAATATAATGGATTAGATCTGGGTTAGATTTTCTTATACTGGCCGCCGTAAGGCGGTCGGTCATGCATTCATTTTCTATTTCAATTTTCTTTATTTATATTATCCGATATTAGCTTGACACAGTGTACATTATTTGTATACTGTTATTTGAATATTGGTTTGTACAAAGTTGATATGGTGTAAATATTATGATTGAAATTTTACATGAGACTATGTTTGTAAGAAGTTACAGATACGGTATTTCACGAATCTGTTCAGTATTTACAGTCGCATTTTGATTATTACCTTGGCATCAGTAATTATTGAGTACCTTATTACAAGTCCTTAAAATGAAGTTATATGAATTTTAGAACATATGCAATGATTATAACAAATTAGTCGATTTCTTAATTACACGAAATGTGATCCGCGGTGCTATCAATTGCATTTAGTGTGGGAAAGAAATGAAACTTGACCGAGAAAACTTGATATTTTCATGTGATTCAACATCTTATATTAAAAACCGAAATAAAATATGTCTTAAAATACAGTGCAATTTAAAGATCAGTGCATAACAAAATTCTTGGTTTGAACAATCGCATGTTCCTGTTCAAAATGTCTGCCGTTATATTGGATACCATCTGATGCTTAGACCGCCGCGACAAGTTTTTCTTGAAAATGAACTTGATCTATCATCAAAAACAGTTGTCGACTGGACAAGTTTTTGCCGAGAGTTATGCGTTTTATGGATGGATAAAACCTCAGTTCAAGTCGGAGGTGAAAATGTAATAGTTGAAATTGACGAGGCAAAAATCGGAAAACGTAAATACAACAGAGGACGTCATCGTACTGGACAGCGGATTTTTGGTGGCTTCGAACAAACGACGAAACGTTTATTTATTGAATCAGTTCCAAATAGATCGTCCGAGACTTTACTTTGGATAATTAAAAAATGGATTAAACCAGGTTCAACAATTATGTCAAATTGATGGAAAGCTTTTTAATTGCCTCAGTGAGGAAGGATATAAACATTTAATTGTAAACCACAAGATGAATTTCATCGATCCATATAATGGTGCACATACTCAGAACATCGAACGTTTTTGGCGTGAAACAAGAGCAAATATTCCACGATATGGGACCCGGAAAGAGCATTATGTCGGTTACATAGCTGAGTTTTTGTTTCGACGACAATATGATTTTAATACAAGAATACCTGCATTTTTTTATATAATGGCAGACATTTTTCCAATTTCTGATAATAATAACGATAATAATAATAATAGTAAAGAATAAAGTTTAATATTTTATCTCCAACTCAACCAGAGGCTAATTCAGACATAAAATTATTTTTGCAAATATCTCGAAAACTAAGGCCGAGCGGCGGTAACACGTATAAAGGAAAAATCTTCATAATAGTAACCTTGACAACATATTTCAAGGTCATCGAAATTGATGAGGAATCGCTAAAGTAAATGATTACCCAGAATTCTTCAAAAATATTAGAATTTTTCCGAAATATTATTTCAACGTTTCAAATTTCGCGCCAAGATTTTCACGAGAGTTTCAATCCGATGAAAGTTATGTACTATTTAATTTCGTTTAAATTCATTCGTACGTGCGATGTCGACGGAGAAGAACAGATTCGTTTTACGAATAACTCGTGTATGTGAAAATGTGTTGATTTTTATATACGAGACTTCGTAAACGAGTCATGCACACTATTGTAAATCTACATAAAGTTCTTTTATGCCAAATTTCGTAAATTGTAGATTTACAATAGTGTGCATGGTTACATAAAGTTCTTTATGCCAAATTTCGCTCGTTTTCGAAATCTCGTATATTAAAATCAACACATAGATATATTTACAATAGTGTGCATGAGAACGTTTACCTTTAAAGTACAATGAAAATGAAACACTGAATACGAAGAAATATTTGTGTCACTCAATTTTTTTTTAACATACTTCTGTTAAAAAAAATTGCCAAGACAACTGACAGCGAATTGCTACTATAGTAAACAGGGTGTCCAAAAGAGTTGGAGTCAAACTTATACAAACGTGTTACTAAGGTCAATTAGATTGAAAAATATTTATGATTTACTGTGGCAATTATAAGAAATGTTCCAAAATTCCCTTTACAAGAATGCAGGTTCACGTTCGTCGAATCAGTGATTGTCTAACTATTTCAAATATTCCATCTAGATTGGAAATGATAATAAATGTATTTTGAATACATTTCCAAAGTTAATCTTGTGTTTCTACCGTGTTTATATAAACTAACTCGAAATGGAAATGTATGTTGCAGGACGAAGTGTTTATTAGACATTAGAAAGATTAATAGTAGAGGTCTTGAGACCGTAGGTAAGGACATGTAAATAATAATACTATTGAGAATTTATAATACGTATACGATTCTATAAAACGAATTGAATTTTACTCGTAAATGTTTAAATTTTTATATCTTTTCAATAAAGCATTTTCGAACATAAATTTATATAAACTTTTTTCATCCATTTGACCTCCTATATAATCTATACTTCAAGCTTAGATATGTGTCGGTTATTATGAAAGTGGCTCAAGTTAGACATATCTCATTTCGAGATATTTAAATGTTAGTTTGATCATATTAAACAATTTTTCCCCATCCTAATGGAGATTGCATAAAAAATTAAATGTTCTACTAATGTGAAATTTATATAAGGTCAATAAATTTCATGAATAACTTATATGAAAATACGTGTTTTGAAAAGTGAAATAACATACGCCACTTCCAAAATTAATAATACATCCTAGTTGTTGATCCACGATAACACATAATTAGAAACATTAAGAACTACTTGAAAAAAAAATTTATTTTTAAAATTGTATTTTTTATTTTATGACTGCAACTTTATAATTATTATTTCAATGAATATTTACGTACTGTCTGCTTCAACTACAAAATTTTCTGTATTGCACACTTCAATAGCTTCAAAATATTCGTGATGAATTGGAGGAATGTGAAAGTATACTTTCCTTTGTAAGTCTCGAAGTAATAATGGAGCCAATTATAGGTTATAAAATAATTTGGTCCCCTCCTTCTTAGCAAATGATTTAAAGCATGAAATTTCTCCTTAAAATCCATTAAAGTTTTATAACAAATTTTATTGTATCATACGATTTATAGCACTTTTCCATTAATTTATAATATTCTTTGGTTTCGTAGAGATAATTATGTCTTTACATCAATTTTACTTCTTTTGCTGCTCATAAGGGAAAAAATGACTTACGTCACTGTTACAATAAACATAAAAATGTAGCAGATAATAATAATTGCTTATTTCATTGCAATTTGACCAAAATTCTTTCATAAAAATTAAATATAGTTGATAAGACATAATATTAAATTAAAATCTCGATTTTGTTGGTTTCATGACATTACTTTCATAATAACCGGCTCACGTAAGAAATAACTGAACTAAATTAGAAAAATATTATACAACATAATGGAGACAATGAAAATGTAATCTTAAAAAATAAACGAGCAGTTTACGGTTTTCGTTTTAGAAAATAACAAGAAAAGTCTAAAAAATTGCATATTTAAAAATAACCCTTTATTTTACCCCCGATTTTACGAAGTACTCTTTTACAAGTGTCCTTCAAGCAACCTGTTAAACCTAAACGCTGAAAATGAATTTAGATGCCCTACATAATGATTCTAGATGCCTTCTCTATCCAAATTGTCTCAATTACTGTGAATCATAAAAATTGATAAATCTTTCTTCCACTGCTCTTTTTATAAAAAATCTATTTCTCGTGTTGTAGTGACAGTATAGTTAATCGTACATAGAAACGTATAAAGTAAATACTAGTTCAAATAAACAACGTTTTCCTTTCCTTCCCGCCACGCTCGAATCGCACGTGAAAATTTAAAATACACATTTCCGCCTCGAAAGCAGAGCTGTGAAGTCAACTGTTTGGAAACTTTCACACGCCGCTGTATCGGAGTAGCTAATTGATACTCGTAGCTTCCCGAATGAAAAATATTCCTCTTTCGCGTAAACGGGGACTTACCGCTCGATAGATACTTCAATTTTTCCCCGCTAAACCACGCCGACCACAACTTCAAATATTTGTACAAGGTTATTGCACACGGATCTCGGTTCCTTTTCGCGGTTTTCACTGCACCATTTTTTGCCGCGAGGTTTGTTCTCGTATAGGAGCGCCAGACACCCGACTAGAAGCGTGATAAAATGGTCGAGTATCGATACGAATCACGGCAACGAACCTACGAGCACGGCGTCGGCACGACAGCTGGAGGATTCTTCAGCGGTTGTTTAAACTTGACTCATTCGATCTCCCTCGACGCACGAACACTCCAGGAACCGGCAACTAAAATTGTCTTCCCGGTCCACGCGAGATCGGAAACTGCTCTACTTTTTCTATTTTTATATCGTTTCATTAGAACTCAACCAAAATATCCCCCATTCCATCGACGGTGTACGCTCGCAATTGCATCGAGACATACGATGATTCTCCGTATCCTAAGAGATCGTGTCTAAACACAAGTTAGCGATCTACAGTCTAACTTTTCGGTTCGAATTGGGTGTTTCGATCGTTTATACAACGTTTCAACGTTTGCCAAGCTTCTTTGTTGGGTCTAACCGGGTCCCTGCGGTAATCTTGTAGTGATTCAGAGCGAGCAGTCTCTGGTCGATTAAATCGTTGCTTCCGTTGCATAATGCAACGCGGGGCACGCACGCAGCCGCATCCAGGCAATAATCTCTAGAGAGGGTCTGGGCAATTACAAAGGAGCTATTACTCGAAATTAGCTGGCACGTTTCGTGAAAAGTAATCTTATCGGTGGGAGGACCGCGAGATTCAGGGAAACCTTACGTCCTCTCCTTCGATCGACTCTGTCGCCTTCAAACGGTCCACTAAATTATTATCATCCTCTCGATTCATTTCAAAGACAGTTATATTTTTTTCTCCCCCCTGCCTTTCTCCATCCATCGCTTATTAACGAGACGCTGATCGATCAAATGCCAATTAAAATCGCCCGGGAAAAAACTATTCGTTTCCTCCAATTTGCTATTAACGCCTAACTTATTACTTCTTCGCGCTTTTCTGCTCGATTTTCCTCGATCGTCTCCTCCCTCGGCTGCTCCTACGTAATTCCTTGATCCAAGATCCAAGTTCTCTTCCTGTGGACGTAATTCTCGTTCGAACGATTTCCCTCGTCACGAATTTATTACCCCTTTGCGCACTTTCCCTCCCCCTGAGTTATGATTCCGCTGCCGAGCGACTTAACGAGAATCTATAGCATCTTAGGGGTTGCAATTGTCTCGACGACTGAAGCTATGAAACAACGTAAAATTATATTTATCCCCTCTGTCGATTCCCAAGATCCCTGGATAATTCTAATTACTATTTCCTGATTTGGTCTTTAGGAATCAATCACTCTCTTCTCGCGAGGATCGATGAAGGAACTCGTCGCTCGCCAAAGTTCCTCGTTCGTTTCATTCGCCCTATTGGGAAAAATCAATCCTTCTCTGGCGCCCAATCGCATCCGAGTTCAACGGCTAAGGTCGAGTCTTCGATTTACGTTTACGTACTTCGTCTTCCCTCCCGATCTCCCCCTCGGCGCGGAACGCCCGTTTTGCATTCACTTACGTCGATGAAGCACTCTTTCGCGCGTGCACGTCGCGCTTCGAATTCTGGCGGCAACAATGGGAATTCCGGACGCCTCGTTTCGAAGCTACGGACTCATCGATTCACGCTCGGGACGAGAAATTACGATGAAAACGAATCGTTTCGCGTTTTACAACGGAACAATTACAGCTTGTTCGTACGAATATTCGTCGGAATTTGAGAAAGAAATTGAGTTCTACGTTAGAGGATATTCGTGGGAATCGTGATTTCCACCCCCTTATCGTTTATCTCCGATTAAGTTTGCCCGAACGATACAACATAACGAAGACACATAACGACGCGACGAATGCGAACGCAGAAGCGCGACTGTTCGCTCGCACGAACGGACAGAAATTCGACTAGGCTTGCCGCGAGAACGACAAGAAAACCAACACGCGTCTCATTCCGCTGGCGCCTAGTCTCCCTCTCCTGGCCAGGATTCCCCTCTCACGGGACTATCATCGGTTTTTTCTTTCTTCGTTTCGCAATACCTCCTGGCGTTTAATCGGCTGATTAACGTTCCATCGCGTGCACTCGCGAGACGAGAACGAGAAAGGAGGATGAGTCCTGGGAGGACTCGCCACGAGGGTTTCAAAAAATTCAATTTTCTCTACAGGTAGGCTCCCACAAGATTCGTGGAGGCACGTTATTTAGTAATAGATAAGTCCAATATCTAATTACGAATACTTTAAACTTATTAACAAATATATACACGTGCGTTAACTGCGTTCTGTTCTCTCAAGTGTTCTGATGTAACTTGAAGTGCTCTAATGTTACTTTAAATGTCCTTGTTTGATTGTGCGTATTCTAACTAACTGTTCAATGTTCTGCCCCGAGATTACATACTTATTTCAAAATAGGTGGAAATTCTATGGTAATTATTTACTTTAGCGATTCCTCACCAATTTCGATGACCTTCAAATATATTGTCAAGGTTACTGTTATGAAGATTATTCCTTTATACATGTTATACAATTTTTTTTAACAGAAGTATGTTAAAATCCTAATGAGCGAAACAAATATTTCTTCGTATTCAGTGTTTCAATTTCATTGTACTTTAAAGGTAAACGTTCTCATGCACACTATTGTAAATCTATCTATGTGTTGATTTTAATATACGAGATTTCGTAAACGAGCGAAATTTGGCATAAAGAACTTTATGTACCCATGCACACTATTGTAAATCTACAATTTACGAAATTTGGCATAAAAGAACTTTATGTAGATTTACAATAGTGTGCATGGATCGTTTACGAAGTCTTTCATGCTTTAAATCATTTGCTAAGAAGGAGAGGATCAAAATTATTTTATAATCTATAATTGGCTTCATTGTTCGTTACTTCGAGACTTACAAAGAAAAAGTATACTTTCACATTCCTCCAATTCATCACGAATATTTTAAAGCTATTGCAGTGTGCAATACAGAAAATTTTGTAGTTGAAGCAGGCAGTACATAAATATTCACTGAAATAATAATTATAAAGTTGCAGTCATAAAATAAAAGATACAATTCTAAAAATAAATGTCTTTTAAAATAGTTCTTAATGTTTCTAATTATGTGTTATCGTGGGTCAACAACTAGGATGTATTATTAATTTTGGAAGTGGCGTATGTTATTTCACTGTTCAAAACACGTATTTTCATATAAGTTATTCATGACATTTATTGACCTTATATAAATTTCACTTTAGCAGAACATTTAATTTTTTATACAATCTCTATTAGGATGGGAAAAAATTGTTTAATATGATCAAACTAACATTTAAATATCTCGAAATGAGATATGTCTGACTTGAGCCACTTTCATAATAACCGACACATATCTAAGCTTGAAGTATAGATTATATAGGAGGTGAAATGAATGAAAAAAGTTTATATAAATTTATGTCCGAAAATGCTTTATTGAAAAGATATAAGCGTTTAAACATTTACGAGTAAAATTCAATTCGTTTTATGGAATCGTATACGTACTATAAATTCTCAATAGTATTATTATTTACATGACCTGACCTACGGTCTCAAGACCTCTACTATTAGTCTTTCTAATGTCTAATAAACACTTCGTCGTGCAATATACATTTCCATTTTGAGTTAGTTTATATAAACACGGTAGAAACACAAGATTAACTTTGGAAATGTATTCAAAATACATTTATTATCATTTCCAATCTAGATGGAATATTTGAAATAGTTAGACAATCACTAATTCGACGAACGTGAACCTGTATTCTTGTAAAGGGAATTGTGGAACATTTCTTATAATTGCCACAGTAAATCATAAATATTTTTCAATCTAATTGACCTTAGTAACACGTTTGTATAAGTTCGATTCCAACCCTTTTGGACACCCTGTTTATTATAGTAGCAATTCGCTGGCAGTTGTCTTGGCAATTTTTTTTTAACAGAAGTATATTAAAAAAAAATTGAGTGAAACAAATATTTCTTCGTATTCAGTGTTTCATTTTCATTGTACTTTAAAGGTAAACGTTCTCATGCACACTATTGTAAATCTATCTATGTGTTGATTTTAATATACGAGATTTCGTAACCGAGCGAAAGGCATAAAGAACTTTATATACCCATGCACACTATTGTAAATCTACAATTTACGAAATTTGGCATAAAAGAACTTTATGTAGATTTACAATAGTGTGCATGGCTCGTCTACGAAGTCTCGTGTATTAAAATCAACACGTTTTCACATACGCGAGTTATTCGTAAAACGAATCTGTTCTTCTCCGTCGAAATCGCACGTACGAATAAATTTAAACGAAATTAAATAGTCGATAACTTTCATGGGATTCAAACTCTCGTGAAAATCTTGGCGCGAAATTTGAAACGTTGAAATAATATTTCGGAAAAATTCTAATATTTTTGAAGAATTCTGGGTAATCATTTACTTTAGCGATTCCTCACCAATTTCGATGACCTTCAAATATGTTGTCAAGGTCACTGTTATGAAGATTTTTCCTTTATACATGTTACCGCCGCTCGCCCTTTGTTTTTGAGATATTTGCAAAAATAATTTTATGTCTGAATTAGCCTCTGGTTGAGTTGGAGATAAAATATTAAACTTTATTCTTTACTATTTTTTATTATTATCGTTATTATTAACAGAAATTGGAAAAATGTCTGCCATTATATAAAAAAATGCAGGTATTCTTGTATTAAAATCATATGGTCGTCGAAACAAAAACTCAGCTATGTAACCGACATAATGCTCTTTCCGGGTCCCATATCGTGGAATATTTGCTCCTGTTTTACGCCAACAACGTTCAATGTTCTGAGTATGTGCACCATTATGTGGATCGATGAAATTCATCTTGTGCTTTACAATTAAACGTTTATATCCTTCCTCACTGAGGCAATTATAAACTTTCCATCGATTTGACATAATTATTGAACCTGGTTTAATCCATTTTTTAATTACCCAAAGTAAAGTCTCGGACGATCTATTTGGAACTGACTCGATAAATAAACGTTTGGTCGTTCGTTCGAAGCCACCAAAAATCCACTGTCCAGTAAGAAGACGTCCTTTGTTATATTTACGTTTTCCGATTTTTGCCTCGTCAATTTCAACTATTACATTTTCACCTCCGACTTGGACTGAGGCTTTTTCCATCCATAAATCGCATAACTCTCGGCAAAAACTTGCCCAGTCGACAACTGTTTTTGATGATAGATCAAGTTCATTTTCAAGAAAAACTTGTCGCGGCGGTCTTAGCATCAGATGGTATCCAATATAACGGCGGACATTTTGAACAGGAAGGTGCGATTGTTCAAACCAAGAATTTTTGTATGCACTGATCTTTAATTTGCACTGTATTTTAAGACGTTTTTTATTTCGGTTTTTAATATAAGATTTTGAATAACATGAAAATATCAAGTTTCATTTCTTTCCCACACTTAATGCAATTGATAGCACCACGGATCACTTTTCGTGTAATTAAGAAATTGACTAATTTGTTATAATCATTGCATATGTTCAAAAATTCATATAACTTCATTTTAAGGACTTGTAATAAGGTATTCAATAATCACTGATGCCAAGGTAATAATCAAAATGCGACTGTAAATACTGAACAGATTCGTGAAATACCGTATCAGTAACTGCTTACAAACATAGTGCCATGTAAAATTTCCATCATAATATTTACACCATTAGTTATATTGAGAATTCCAACAGTTATTAGCATACCCCTCACTTAGTTAATGTTATTTTAAATTACTGAATTAGCTATTTGGCATGTACCTCATGGTACAAAGAAAATTGCCGTATTATAAACCCGTTAAGCACCGTTCTTTGGGACCATACCTGCCTCTTGGGACTGCGGACACCCGTCCCTATACCACCCTTAGTGGGCGGGATTTCGAATACCTGAGAACTGGCCCACGAGGGATAGACAGGGCCTTGATTGGATACACAATGTCTCCACCTATTTTGGAATCTGTATATATTCGTGGGGCACAGGACTCTCCAAGTTAGAACATTTCACGAACAGTTAGAACATCTCAAGAACTCCATAAGAATCGAAACAAGAACACTGAAAATTAAACTGTTAACACATATGTATATAATTGTAAATAAATTCAAGTATTTGTAAATAGTATTGAACTTTCTATTTACTAAATAAAACGGCTCCACGAACATAGTGGGAGTCTACAAGTTACTAGGTAGAATAGTTAGGTTTAAGTAAGGTTTGGGTTAGACTTTTTTCCCAACCCAACCAATTCCCAACGCTACATTTTTTTATGGTATCGAGTCACGATGGACAAAAACCTACACTCGCGTTGGAATTTATGTTCACAAATAAGGTTCGTTCTATTATAAATGATCAAAAATAAGGTTAATGATATAAGTGTAAGCGCTTATTTATCGTGTAGATGTGTTTATTGAAGTTTAACAAAAAGAAGAAAATACATAAAATGCAAACTAATTCTTATAGAGATACAAAATTATGTAAAAAAGCAGAATTTTTAATATAACTGAGGACGGAAAGTATATTAACATTGTAATTTAATGCACATCTTATGTAATTATAATTTTTTTAGTATGAAGTTTGATATACTTATAAAACGCCACTTGGTATACTTCTAATTAATTTTGTCAGCATAGTGGAGCATTGTTGGTTTCAAAAAATTCTTTCTATCCTATTTCTTTCAAAATACATGGAAGAATACAAATTCTCCTGTACTAATTCAACACACTTCAAGCCAGTCAGTATCGTTTCAATTATTGCTAAATTTCCAATTCGATTGTTATTAAAACAGCTCCATATTATAATGAAGCAACCTCCATGTTTCACGGTTGAAGTCGCAAGAATTGGTTTAA